TGTAGATATAGTCCAATATATATTTTCAATCCCTAAATATTATTTCTTAGATCCCTGAAAAATTCCAGGTGCTTAAACATTCCAAATCGGCGCGTTTTATCGCAAAACGGCGACGATGAATTAAAACGATGCAGAGTAACGTTTCAGCATGTCGTTCGCCGAATATCATCGCGAAATAACGAGAACGATTTGCAGTGAAAGAGGCGGCGTTTGCCGGAACGGTAGACCGCGCTGGGAAACAACGAATACTCCTATTTATCATTTCCGAAACGGTCGTTTCTCTGTTCTCTACCATTTTGAAAATCGCTACTCGCATTACCGCGGCGTGTCGACCGGAAGCAACTCGAGCTTCCCGGGTATTCGCGGTTTTCGCAATACCCTCGCAACGATCCGCTTCACTGGGAGAAGCGTCGAATACGTTTGCGCGCGACGAAACCCGAAACACTGTAACACCAGTGTCTGATAATCGACTGATAATTGCTGAAACGGTCCACGCGCTTCAGAATCCCATCAGCGGTACATTACGGTAATAAGATTGTCCAGCACCTCGTTCGAATTCTTTCAGTGTCGCGCACGAGACCGAACATCGACCTATCGTGGCTTACACATTCAATGCCGAATATCGTATCGTGACACGGATTTGTTGCAATGACAAACACAAGAATATGATTTATGCCTATGTATTTTTGACATTTACGAGGCGTTTTCATTACATATATGAAATTTTATATTCGACGTATAAAACTTAAGAAACCTTATAATATGAAAGTTACATACATTTCTAACATATGTTTTTATTTATGCATAATATGTACTAGCTACATGCGTATAAAATGCATATGTAAAATTATATATAGTACCTACATAATATTTTACTATATCATATATAATATTTCACTGTATTAATTCTATTATTAATTTTGAGTCAAATATAAGAATATAAGAAGTTATTTTTCTCCATATTTCGAGGATATTGTTTAAAAACATGTTAAACTTAGATACTCATTTTTCATTCAGCGATCAGCGTTTTACTCATTAGCGAAAATTACCGTGTGTTCGTCATCGCAGCGAGGAAAAGTTACGCGCAACATGTGTTTCGCCTTAATATCGCAATATTTCGAGAAGCATTTTTCTCCACGTAGCCATCGTGCATCGCTACATCAAAGAATATCATTTCTGCTACGATTTTATTTGCATTTCAAATGCATATATGCCTTAAAGCAGTCGTCATCTTGAATTGTACGTTGGATATGGGAATTTCGACTTCCATAAGCTTTCCGTGATTTTCATGAGCTGCCAGATCTACTTAGCAAGCACGAAACAATAGTGTCGAGCATTGTTAGCAGATAATACTGAAAATGAATATAATTCGAACATATACTCTAGCAAAATACCGTGATATCCAAATAGGAACGTAGACTAGGATTAGACTAACGCCTAGTAAATTGAATTGTGAAACTGAATCTAATATTTATTTACGTCGTTTTATGTTTTTTTCTTATTTTTAATAAAGTATTTTTATATATACCAAAAGTTTTCATTAATTTGGAAAATTATATAAAATCGTACTTTTGGATCTATAATGAACGTGGTTAGAAAACAGGTTCTGTTTTCGATTCTTTAGAAAGCTATCATTAATCGGCAATTTCAATATCTGCTGTTACGTTTAAGTAAAAATATTCCGTAATATTTTTCATATTTGGTACGTTTAATTATCCAAAAAAGGGGAAGAATGCGATATCGTAACATCTACGTAGAAGGAAAAACATCACTTTTCCTACGAGAGAACCGATTGTGCTCCCTATTAGCTTGAATAATTTCATCCCGAAATGTTAGTAATAATTTTCTAAATCACGTTTAATCTTTTGCAAAAAATCTACTTTTCTATTTTTCACTTGTTGTTTAACTAAATTATCCACTGAAATTTCAATTTTTCCATTCGCGGCCATATTCCTTTATTTTCCTATATACACAGAGTGTATTTCATCGTACAGTAAGTAACTATGCAAAGGAAATCGATACTGACCTTGAAAGCCTCGAAAAAAATGGGCGAACCGAATATTTTTTTTTAATAAAATAGAATATAAATTTCTTTCGAAAAAGAGCAAAACCTATTACTACTGTTACTAGCTTTTATACAATTTTTCCGGAATATACGGAACAAGTTATAAGTAATTTACCGACGCTCTATTTTGCTGTTTTGAAAACATTTGCTTTCAATTTTTCGCAGAGTAAACGTTCTGATGTTTAATCATTTTCTTAAGATATACGCGATAGAAATTAAACCATTTTTTAGTTATTATTTGCAGTCATTATTTCGCGTGATACAATTTCGAAAACCTTGTAAAATACATAAAAATCGTAAAATGCTGCAAATGGAATAATATTGAGATAACAAGAGGATTGAATTTTACATAAAAGTTTTTGCCATTATTACCAATGAAAAACGTGTTTGTTTAAAAAAAAAAAGAGGAACAACGCGCAAAAAATACAAATAAACGTTTAAAACATACAAAGATAATATTCAAATATTTCACTCTAAAAATTCCTACGCGTCAAACAATCGCGTATTAAAAATGCTTGAAGCTACATCGCTTCTAAAATAAATAAATAAAAGAGAATCCCCGTTGGATAGTAAAAGAAACTTGTAAAGAGGCTCAAGGACGTCTCCCTAACACACGAAGGTACGAAATAAAAAATTCTACAACGTAGGAATAAAAACAAAAACAAGCAGTAAGAGTAAAAAGAAACATCAAAGAATCTTATTCAAGATCGTAGGTTGGAAAACAAAATGTTCTGCAAGCAAGTTGCTAAGCTCTGGCAGCGTTACGGTATCGTCGACAAGTAGCGCAGCGATATTATACCACGACATTGCGTTTTCCGCGACATTACGTCGTATTGGCGGCCATTAAAGCAACTAGAGCAGGCGTTCGCGACTCTCGCTGAGTTTTAGCCGGTTGATCTCGCTCGCCTCGTTCCACGAAAGATGGGAACGCGGCGGGAAAACCAGTGTTGAAAAAAGAGGATCCTCGTGACCGTAGATGCCGTGCATCGTGGCGAGACCAGATAACCGGCGATATTAAACATAATTCGCGCGTTTATCGCGCCGCGGCCGCTCGTAATCCGGCATTCGACGCACCCGCGCGCGATGGCGCCGCGACGACCAACGCGGTCGTTTACGCCGCGTGGAGAGCCCCGCGGAAAACAAAAGAGAGAGCCGACCCTTCGAAAACACGCTGCGATACCAAGAGATGGATAGATAGAGGGAAAAAAGAACGACGCTGGGTGATCGCGGGACAGAGACAAAAGACCAGAATCAAAGAGAGCGCGACGATGGTCGCGGAGAGGAGGACGCGATAGCGACGAAGGAAAGCGATAGAAGAAGATAAACGGGAAACGAACGAAGGAATGGAACAAGGACGGACGAAAAAGAGGTTGTCGGGATGAAAAAAGGAAGCACGGGATAGGCTGGCGGAACAGAGACGGAGATAGGTAAAGAAAGGACGAAGGGACGAGTAAGGGTGGACGCTGGGGAAAAAGAGAGTTGATATCAAGCGAAAAGAGAGAGGGAGGCTCACCACCGTTGGACATTAAGAACGTTTCGTGCGGCAATTTAACCACCTAGCAGGGACGCCGAGAGCGGCGCAGTCAGCGTTGCTGCTGAAGCCAGCTTGAACAGCTATATACGCGAAGGGAAGGTATATAGCTGAAAAGAAACGCGGGAAAAGAGTCGAAACGAGACAGACAGAGAAAAGTAGATAGGTTCCAGCACGGTGTATACGTATAGCGGAGTTTATACGACTTCTTCGCGCGTGCGCCTGCACACCTGCAGATTAGGTTTAACAACCTTAATTTTAAAAAATTGCCACCTCTCCCCAGACGATCTGCTCTCTCCTCTTGCCCCTCGGACGAGCTTCCTCTTGTTCTTCCCTATTCGACTCGTTCGACCGTTCACGCCACCCCTACGTATCACCTCGACACCCTTCCCACGACGAAACGAAATTGCGTCGCTTTGCGCCATTTAGAACCAACTTCTCCGCGGCCTTCTCTGTTTCTCTCGAACCCTCGATGGTGTTTCTACGGTCAAGAACTACAACTGAGCCACATTGGCCATCGTGGACGTGGAAAAGCACGGGGAGGCTCAGGCCATTTGCTGCTTGCCTATACTCACCGATCGGGATTAGACGTCACGAAGTGGCAGGGATATGTCGTCGGAATTTCGGGGAAAATTGTTTGGGGGTGACTAACGTGGACAAGGGTAGACACCAGGGAAAATAAAATTGTGAACCAATGGAATTTCGACCAGAGACCTCCTTCATTTTACGTTGCTGCGTTCAGATCGTAAGATGGTTAATCGAGGCTTGGGCAATACATATTTACATGTTTCAATGGATTAATATGTTGTGTCAAAGATATTTCATTTTGTAATTGTCTCGAATGTATTTCGACATGTTAAGGATTGTAATTATCGCTCTGCTTTGTTTTTGTAATTGGAAATTTGAAATGCTGAACGATGCAAATCCCACAAGTGATGTTTTCTAAATCAGGAAACGTATTTATGTTAATTCTAGGGCTTGTATCGCTTGAATGCTATTGACTATCACATTTATGAACTTAAGACAAAATAAATGGTAAATATCTATCAGTTATTAGTTAGTAGCAATTTTTAATTACACGTTTCGAGATTTATCTATGCACGATCCGACTAATTTCCAAAACTAATTTGACCAGAAGCTTTTCGTTAATACTACTATTAACTAGTTAATTCTAGAAATACCCAAACGTATTTATCTAGTTTTAATTAACAACACACAATTAATTTTGTAATTAACTAGAGTAAACTAGTTCCTATAGACGAAAAGCATTTGCAACTACTATTGACAGAATTCGGCTTTTACCCATAACACATGTACCAAATTACCTTTATCTCACCTAAAAATACTATTCCTAGAAATATAACAAATATTCTAAAAATAATACTGAATAGTAGTAAGGAAAAATTTACAGGTTGCCTGTAAAAAATTTCCAACATTAATCTTTTACATACAGACACATATATTTCTCTTCTATTCATAATGCATACATTTCCATAATATATCTTTCTCTCAGAAGACAAATTGATGAACTCCATTTTTTATCAAGTTCTTAATTTTATTACGTATGTAATCGATCAATAATTAATCGCTAATAATTAATTCGAAATTAAATTCTAAGATAAATTCTAAAATAAACGTAGAAGATAGTATTTGTAATGTGGTCAGTTTTCTGAACTTTTCACAGCAGATCAATTAAGCTTCTCAACGGCTTATACGATATATAGCGGCTATAACGAGAAATAAGTTAATTACTAATTTTGTAACGCCTTTGGTAACGCAAAATTATTATTCTTTGCGCAATCACCGACAGAGCTCGATCATCGCCATTGCATTCTTCTTCCAAATAATTTCACTCGATCTCCAGCCAGCTTCGCCCACGATCGAATCAACGTTACCGGTGAACCTGTAAAAATAAAACCAAGGCTATCAGCGATGTGAGTATAGGAGATATTTCTTTTTTAAAGTTTCGTGATACGATCACGTGCCACGACGCGTATCGCGACGACGCGACTCTGGAAGCGGAAGAAGTTGCCGCCTTCTCCCATTCGGCGCGAGTCAGCCGAATAACTCAACACGCGTGGCCCGTGTTCGCTTCGAGCGTAAACTGACGATGCATCCAGTGTATTTGCGAGTTTCGTCGGACAAGCTGCGTAGAGCGTCAGAGAGAGGAGCGGAATATCTAGATGCCTAGATTAATTAACAACTTCGTAGACCGTCCCTTCTCGTGGACCCCTTTCCGTAATTCCGTGAAAATTTTTGCCCCGACCCCGCCCTCTCCCTCTTGGTAGCCGACTGTGCTGGCCGGCCGCAATAAAATCCACGTTGAGCCAGGTTCCAGACTCGTGTGAAATATCGCCGCGAATTATCATACCATCTGAAATTAAAGGGCTGAAATTTCGGGCTGGTACCGCGCCGGCGGTGGTGCCCACTGGAAAATAATTTTGATGCTCGCTCTCTACTTGTACGCACGCTTTGCC